CTTTCTGATCCCTGCACACATTCCAACCTCCACAGCTTCTAGGAAATGTTGATTCCTAACAAAAATCTACATATTTGTTCCCACCCCAGTCGGTCTTTTGTCTTTCCAAAATGTGTAATAACCTTCCAATGTTCTTATCCACTTCCCTCCATCGCTCCTTAAACCCACAAGTGCACAGTGCCTCAGCTCAAGACCCTGAGTGGGAAGTAACTGGCCTGTGTTTCTGCTGCCCTTGTCACCTTTCTGACACTTCTCCCTTTGTCTCTGTCTCTAATGTCTGTCCTAAGTTGGGTGGAGCAGGGTTTAGGAGGAACAGACAGCACAATGAACAGCTAGCCTCTGCACACTAGATGTCAAGGCAGTGCCACTGTAGTTCTCTCTACAAGGACTTCTCAAGGGCTTTTGCTTGTCTGAGTTCATCTTTTGGAACAGTGACTAAGTTACCACTTGGTCCTGGTGACCTTGAACTCCTAGCAATGCTTCTGCTTCTGCCTCCCAAGTCCTGACGTTACAGCAACAAAAGGAACTAGAATGATTGAAGTTACAAGGTGGAATGGACCACTTCAGCCAAGAATGACAGGAGTCTCTTCTACACTGAGTGGCAACAGTGGTGATGTTGCCGGGATGGGACGTTACCTGAAGTGGAGCCTGAGAACCAACTTGAGTGTGTGTGTGTGTGTGTGTGTGTGTGTGTGTGTGTGTGTGTGTGTGTATGCTTTACAGATGGAAGGCTTTGAGCAGTTCAGAATAAGCAGGAAGGACCTGAGAAGGATGTGCTACCAGATGTGTGTACCTGTGACCTGAGGTACTGGGACTCTGGGCCATGGCACTGAATAGATGCCCCCCTTTGACCTGAAGCACGTGTGCTTATATCATATGTATATTTTTTCCAGCCAGGCATCTTCAGCCTCCTACCAACCCCCCACCCCCAAGGACAGAGCTCCAGACAAAGGAGCAGCAGAGAACAATCACCAGCTAAAGCTCACACAACTGGAAAAGGGATGGGCTCTGGACCAGGCACTGTCACCATCTACTTCAGCTATGGTGTGCCTGTATCTTAGGTTTGATCCGATGCATATTCCTCTTCTTCTATCATAAAAGCGCACCTCAGTCCTAGAGTGGCTCTCTCACTTGAAGGACTCATTAAGTCACAGAGACTCCAGTGTGTGTTGTGCTGTAGACGTACACTGAGCTAAGCTGGCTATCCTACCTCTAATTCTTAGACAAGCAAAGAAATACATCCTATTTTCTCAAAAGGAAGTAATGTCACTTTTCTACCTAAATTTTTACAAACTCATTTAAAAAGAGAATGTCCTTGAGTGGCTCCAGTCCTAAGTACCTTGGAATCTAATTGAAACCAGAAAAACAACTTCCCTGTGCCCAGAGGCCTGTTTCCTGGGTGGATTGAATCATTAAGATAATAGACTGTTTTATTAGTGGTGGTGTTTTGTTTTGTTTTGTTTTGTTTTGTTTTGTTTTGTTTTGTTTTGTTTTGTGACAAGGCCTTTATATGTAGCCCAGCATCAACTTGAACTTGTTATGTAGCCCAGGCTAGCCTGAAACTCATGATCCTCCTGCTAGCTTCCTGTGTGCTGGGATTACAGCTGTGCACCTCTACATCCAACCAATAATGACTTGTGTTCAGCAGATAATGAGTAAGTTCCATGGCATGGAAGGCCATTATTACAGTGACCATCCTGGTTGTTGGCTTGTGAGTTTCCTGATTAAACTTTCCAAGTGAGCCAAGACTACAGGAAGAGGATAGACTGTTCAGACTATGTCAGGCATCTTCCTGACTTCATTCTTTGCAAACCCTTTAGATACCATCTTCTGACATCCTTATAGACCTGCTCCTGTCTTCACAGAAACCCCGTGGCAAACTGTTCTCATACCTTAAGGTGCTATCCATTCTAGAGACCTCCAAAGGGTGGCTGGAAATCCTGCATTGCTAAATCTACGTATTCCCAGAACCTGTGAGCCAGGAAGAAACTGGCAATCATGAAAGCAGAAGCCTAGGACCCCTCCCACATATCACTTATTAGGTTCAAATCCAACAAAAGCAGTTTCCACTTGTGCTTTCCATCTGGAAGTAGCTATCAAATCAATGAATAAAGAGTTAATTAAATTAAAATTCTAGAGTAAACATTCAGCTCTTCATTCATGCTCACTACATTTTAAGTGTTTCATTGCCATAGGCAGCCAGTGCCTACTGTACTAGCTTGCACAGGTACAGAACACTTCCACCACAGTAGGAGGTTCTGTAGACCAGTACCAACCCAGCTGTTTATAAATATGCTTTGTATGCATACATGTATATAACCTGACTTCCAAGGCTGGCTTCATGACTGCTCGGCAACAAATTCTGAAGAGCCTTGGACTAAAACGCCACTTCCTTACCGTCCCTGGCTCTCTGTAACCAGTGGCTGCTTCATGGGTCATCAAGCACTGATGCCACCTCACTCCATGGGAATACCTATTTTCTGGATTACTTTTATAGCTAGTGTGATAAAATACCCTACCCAAAGCAACTTATTTGGCTCATAGTTCAAGGTTATAGTCCATCCTGGCAGGGAAGTTACAATAGCAGCAACTTGAGGCAACTGGTCAAATCCCATCCATGGTCAGGGAGCAGAGAATGGTCAATGCCATGTTCATCTTATAATGATACAGTCCACATCCAGAGAATGGCCCCAGCTACAGCAATTAACCCGACCAGTATACACCCTCACTGTCATGGTCTAACCTGAGTCTAAATAATCCCTTACAGATGCGCCTAGAGGCTTGTCTCCTAGGAGATTCTAGATCCTGTCAAGCTGACAATCGGTATTAACCATCATAGTTTTCAAGTTGTTCACGAGAGTATGCCTTAATTAATCAAACATGATGTGTACTTCTGGAAACCCTCTCTGCCTTTTGATCTTGGTTGCAAGGATAATACAGAATCAGGCGTGGCACCAAGTCGGTTGTGTGTGATGAGATCTTTTTATAGATGTATTCTACAAGATACATTTTTAAAATTGCTATCATTTCATAAAAACAAGTTAAGTGTGTACTGTTTGGAGTTTTAAAGGTAAAGTCATATAGAACGAGGATACTTGGTAGACAAGGAGTCAGAGAAGAGCCCTAACATGTACTATGAGCCAGACGCTGTGGCTGGTGCTTTTACACAGTCATTAACCTCACAGATCCATCTACACAGACACAGGTCAAACACTTAGTTTTCCTGTCTCTTATGACCTGTAAGTGTAAAGTCTAATCCCAATAAGTGTGTTTGAAGACTCTGCAGTCCTCCCATCGTGCCTTGCTGTCCTTATGCAGTCTCCCGGAAGGAGATATGCTGTAAGCATAGATAGCATAGAGAATGCCTGGGCTGGCCTCCCAGGTCCCCAACTCTGGCCAAACACATCCTGAAGTCAATCAATTTTTCATTTGAATGAATTAAACCAACTTCAGTATTGCTAGTGGTAGAACAGTTGAGCATCCCCAAGCTAAAAATCAAACATGCTCCAAGATTCAAAATGGTACCATAAGTGGAAACTTTCACACTGAATCTCATGTGAAAGCTTCTGGTAAAAAATCATCACTGTATGAATAAAATATTATTTATGATTACCTTTAGCATAGCATATAAGGATATGAAACATACATGAGTTCTCTGTTTTGACTCAGCTTCCATCTCGAAAATATCTCATTGTACATAAGCACATATTCCGACATTCCAAATCTAAAGGACTTCTAGTCCCCGGCATTTGCAATAAGGAGGATTCAGTCTGTGGGAACCATTAAATCAGCAGTAGCTCCCATCCAAGGTGCTTTAAAAGAAAGGCACTGTGGAAACTTCTTCTTGCAGTGGGCAGCTAGCTGTCCATGCAAAGGCTTATAACTGGACAAAGTACTAAAAATAAATGACTATTGAGTGCTCGGTCCTAAATGAGACATTATACTGTCCCCAAGACTTGATCAGAAAACATTGTGGAAGAGGGGACAGAAAGAATGTAAGAACCAGAAGATAAGGAAGAGTGGTGTGATATGTTGTTTTCCAGCCTTGACGTGGTCATGGGGGGGGGTCATTAAATCACAACAGCTGTGGTCACCTACCCAGTCTACACTAGACAGAGCCCTTAACAACAAAGATAAGAGAGGGGCCCATGGGCCTCCACCCCTAGCTGAGGAGTTCCCAGCAATTGATAGCTGCTCTCAGGGGGAAAAAAAGTCATTTTTCTTCAGGGTGTGGCCACTGATAGGTTACCCAGGCCTTGGTGGACGAACCCAGACCCATGAATGTGTAGGCAGCACTAGTTGAACTTAGTAGGTTGGGTTTTTTTAAGAAAAAATGCATGAAAGCGAAAAGGGGGCCAAGTTGGTGGCACCAGGGGAGTGGGACAGGAAATGGGGTGAGGATATGATCAAGATGCACATAATTTATGACATTATCAAAGAATAAATTGAAAATGTTCTTTTTTAAAAAAGAACAATACATCATTATGAGACCATTTCTCCATCCGAGTTGCTCCTAAAGCTAGCCCTAAGACCTGACCTTACTAATCTGGGACAATGAGTCACGTCACTGAGAACAGAGATGCCAGAGAACTCTTACGGACCCCATCCTGTCAGCCACGGATGCAGGATTCTCCTGAGGCATTCAATCCCTGACACCTTCAGTTGTCCTACACAGACTGGGCAGATTCCCATGATGTTGGCAGGGGACGGAGCTGGGAGAGAGCTGAAGTAGTCAGGCTACGGAAGAGCTGTAGTTACAGGTGACACGGAGCAGGCTTGGGAGATGTGGGAAAGACACCAACAGTGGCTACATCCCCTTTACAAGGAATGCTCACTCTCAGATTCACACAGTTGATGTGAAAGCCAAAACCCAGGTCAGTCTCAATAGCTAATCCCAAAGCACTTTCTCTTCCTGCTACAAAATAGTGTTTTGAAACCTCTTCTCATGGCATGTATACCAAATACTCTCTTACCAAATCTCCTCCTCTCTCTGTCCTCAGGAAAATACCACCCACTGGCAAGTTGGTACTGACCCTGGAAACAAACGCATGTGAGGGGAAAGAAAACTTCGTCCGCTACCTGGAGCATGTCCAAGCTGTCATCACAGTCAATGCGACCAGGAGAGGAGACCTGAACATCAACATGACCTCCCCAATGGGCACCAAGTCCATTTTGCTGAGCCGGCGTCCAAGAGACGACGACTCCAAGGTGGGCTTTGACAAGTGGCCTTTCATGACCACCCATACCTGGGGGGAGGATGCCCGAGGGACCTGGACCCTGGAGCTGGGGTTTGTGGGCAGTGCACCACAGAAGGGGTTGCTGAAGGAATGGACCCTGATGCTACATGGCACACAGAGTGCCCCATACATCGATCAGGTGGTGAGGGATTACCAGTCTAAGCTGGCCATGTCCAAGAAGCAAGAGCTGGAGGAAGAGCTAGATGAAGCCGTGGAGAGAAGTCTGAAAAGTATCCTGAGAAAGAACTAGGGCCATGCTTCCGCCTTCACCTCCCTTTCCTCCCTGTCTCTGCCTCTCCTTGCTCCACAGTTCTGGCAGCCACCAGCCACCCAGAAATTCCTGTTACCCCCACACAAGCAATCCCAGCCTGGTCTGAAGCTTTGCTCGCTGTCAATGATTATTTTCAGTACAATGGAAGCAACCGTTTTTATTCTGTAGCCCAAATATAGCGTTCCTACCAACATCTATGTCCCATGTGTGACTCGACCTTTATTTCTGTCCTGTAAATGGGTGATTATACTGCACATGAAACCAGGACAGCTCTGCCCTCGCTTTTGTTCATATCTGAGAAGAGAAGAGAATGCATCTAAAAAGCCACACGAGGTGACTCAAGAATATTTGTGGCCTCAGCTGAGATGCTGATAGAAAGTGAACTCCACAGCTCTAGCATGGGGGTTGGAGGGTGGCTTGGATTAAGCAAGACTAGTCAGGGATATAAACTGAGATGCATGATGAGAAAGATGTTGTCCCCAGGGAGCCCTAAAGCCCAAATACTAGACAGGGTGAGGAATTTTTAAAGGCATGAGCATTAAAAATTTACTCCCAATACCTAAATCGTGTTCCTTCTGCTCTGCCAGGATGACGTAAAATAGAAACATGTGGCTCTTCTGTCACCAGTTGCTGTTCTGTATTGGGATTGAACCCACTGGAGCAGCCAAAATGGCCTCTTACATTGAGTTCATCCACACACCTGTAGTTTTCAGGTACTCTTTACACAGCCATCCAAGAGAGAAACTACAAGGTTGGTCCAGCTGCTATCTGGCAAAGAGCAATTTACCAGTTTAGGAGCATCCCTTTCCCTGAGTGGTTTTAGAACTCTTTGTTATGACACAACCAAGAGGCAAGTGGTTTTTTTGGTTTAGTTTGGTTTGGTTTTTGTTTTGATTTGTTTTTGACAGCTTTACCCACAGCAACCAGGGCTTTGATTTCCCAAAACTATCACTGGAGTGCAATATCTTCCTCCCTCAACTTGTAATTTCACTGATGTTTTGGGGAAAATGGGTCACTGTTTGAGAAGAGGCCAGTGGATGTAGGGAGCACATCAGAAGACCTCTGGTTGCAAGGAGCTTGTTGCATTGAGAGGGGCACGTGCCACCTCAGTACACAAGCCACCTCAGTACTCAAAGCCAGAAGGGAGCAAGAGACAACCTCTTTTAGGAAAGCACATGTTGTCACCTTAGCAACCATGAGAATATCTAGCAAGCACCCCAAAGGTGACAGCTGTCAACTTTAAAAGACACTGTTTCATTCCCAGTTATTACTAAAATAACCCACTATCATTTGGTGTCCCCGCCCAAGGATTGGCTTCCCTCTCAAATCCCAGTGTCCGGTCCTCCTACCCCACTTCCCTGGAGCATGTACAGAGCCTGGAGTTCCTTTGCTGAAGCCAGCAACTCAGAAGCACTGAGATTCTGTTCCTTGGGGGCAACGTTAAAAGAGCGTTCTGGAAAGATTTTTTTTCATTCCTTTTCTCCCCCCCTCCCGTTTTACAATGGATTTTGTCTTCTCGACACCTTGTAACTTTCCATGTATCATGCTTTTGAGTGTAATAATGTTTATGATTTCTAAAAGAAATTTATTACTTGTTGCAAAGGTCTTTTTAAACTACCTTAGATTTAAAGAAAAAATGGTAATCATTGAAAATTCATTTCACATTAATGGTCTGGAAATAAAACCAAAGGACATTCTGTGTGCACGTATGCATAAATGCACACAGAAATATATATATACATATGTAGACTATATACATGTGTATATGTGTGTATATATACTTGTATAAATGTACATACACACATATACCTAAATATGTGTGTATTCTGTATGTATTGAAGACACAGATGCCATATACATCTCTAAAAGAGTATTCAGAAAATATCAAAATGATTCCGGCTGAGTAGGCCGGTAGAGATTCAGGTGAAATGTCTGTCCATCTCTTCCCATTATGACACCTCTGTAATTTTGAAGCTCTCTGTATAAACATTAAACGTCTTATATCAGCAGCAGAAATATAAAATAGTTGTCCATATTTTCACATTTGTGGTATAATTTATTAAATTAAAGAGTAACTTATCTGCTTCTTAATAGAAATGGCAAATTTTGATATGAATATGTAGTATATAAAGACATATAGTGCTAAATATAACTATTTGGTCTCTATTTCATTTTTGGCATCAGTATTAACACCAACTGTCTAGCTAGTGATGTTTTTTATGATGCCCCTGAGTCTGATGCAAGAGACAGTCATTTATTTTAAAAACTGAAAAGCAAGTGACTAACAATCAGGTTAACATTGTTACTCCCTGTGACAAAAATTTTTAAATACATTTAAAAATATATGTTGTAAATGAGGAGGCTCAACAATAAAATATACCTTCCAGAAAAATATATGGGATGTGCTGTATCTTATACAAAAACACTTCCACCCAGTGTTGGAGCCAAAATAGATCTTAAAAGCCTGCTTTAGTAAATATGCATGATAGATGTGCAATCAGCAGATAAGTCACGTGTAAATTATGATCTACAGCAGCATTTCTGAGACTTCATTTGTCATCTTTGGTAGTGGGAGGTAAATTCAGTGTAGGTAGTCAATACCAGAACTTGTAACAAGAGAAAGCAGGTCAGTCATGTATATTAAGTATTGTACCTGCTCCCAGTGTGTGTGTGTGTGTGTGTGTGTGTGTGTGTGTGTGTGTGTACAGGCATGCATCTGTCTTTCTTCCCACCTTAACATGTATACTGGCACATGATGTAAAGTGTATGTCTTACTGTGGGCAATGATCAAAAAGAAAAACCTTTTAGACCAAGTATGATGGCACTCGCCTTTAATCCCAACATTTGCAAGGCAGAGAGACAGGCAGATCTCGGTGAGATTAAGACCAGCCTGGTCTACATAGTGAGTTCAAAGACAGCCATAGCTATCTTTGAGAGATCCTGTTTCAAAAAATAAAAGATATCTTTTAGAAACATGATTCTAGAACACACTAAGCTAGATTAATTTATCCTATAATAGACTCAGGATCTCAGTGGCTTAATGCAAAGGTTTATTTGTCATTCCCACAAGTTCAAATGCGGGATTGGGTAACTCTCCAAAGCTGCAGATCTCCAAGCACTGAGCAGGGATGTAGGCCATTTCAGTTTTGTGCTTAGTGGTCTGAACATAGGGTTGCTGACATCACCAGGTATCTTCTCATCTTCCCCCTCTGTTCAGGAGATGTGCATACACTCTGCCCTCAGCACCAACCAGTTCTTGTCAATGAACCTCCATGAACACCATACAACTGGGAAATGTAAGACAACTGGGGAATACTCAGTGGGCACTAGACCCCTATCACGGTGCCTGATATTCCTGTAAAACAAGTTTTTAATTCTGCTTTACACAGTAACCTCTCCTCTCGGATGGCACTGTGTATTACTGCAAACTAATTGTACCTCACCCCCATGTGACCCTATGTTATTCTAGACATTGTTTTAAAGTAATTCATTGTAAACCATTTATAATGTTCTCTGGTCCTATTTTTATTACACTCAATTATTAAAACTTCAAGTGAATCTATGACTAAAACCATATATGGAAAGATATAAGGCCTGAAGCTTGGTCTTATGACATTGAAACATTATAAATCAGTAAGTTGATACACTAAAAATTAAGAGGGGTGTGTGTGTGTGTGTGTGTGTGTGTGTGCATGCGTGCACGCATGTGTAGTGTTTTCTCTTTGTTGACTTTTTTAATTTGTTTTTCTTTATGCACATTCTACCTATGTGTCTGTTGAATCCCTTGGAACTGGAGTTACAGATCATTGTAAGCTGCCATATGGACGCTGGGAATTGAACCTGGGTCCTCTGAAAGAGCAACAAGTGCTCTTTACAGCTGCACCATCTCTCCAGCCCCATTTTTTTAAACTCTTATAGAGTTATTACTCTGTGCCTTCATTACACAGGTCTTTATAAATTAATGATGGTTTTCCATACAGTGGATGCATTCATTAATTCAAGTGATTGTATGGAAAACACACAGCGTAAAACTATATAACTGTGTACTTTAATTATTAAGATAGAACAACAAACACTAAACTAGATCTGTTGACTTTGTATCCAGAGTGTTTATAGATCCAAGAATCTAACATGTCTAAAAAATAAAAATAAAACCACAAAGATTAGAAAGAGTGGATACGGGCATGAGATAAAGAACACCAGCATATGTTTTATGAGCCAGTGCAGATAATTCGGTTGTACCCAGTAAAGCAGTTCTCTGCCCCTAAAGAGAGCGAGTTGATAGAGAATGTGATAGAAATGGCATTCAGCCTACAGGGATTTAAATGCATGGAGAGACAGGCTGGCAGAAACTGGCAGAGAGTAACTAGCACACAGGAGAACCCCAGTGTCTGAAAAATGGGAGTATCTCGAGAACAGGGACCAGTACATTGGGTGAACCAGGCCTAGATGCACTGAATCCATCAGCTGCCAGAAGCACCACCCCATATCCACCCACAGCCTTCTGGTTTCTCCTTCAGCTTCCCAAGAATATTAACGCATCTTCAGGTATACACACACCTAGATCCAGAAGAAAAGCTCTTTCTACTGCAAATGAGCAGTAAGGGGAGGGGGAGTTCTCCTCTAGTCTCTTATTCACCTTCCGATGTTCTAAGCTGAGGTAGCAGCAGGCCCTATGGGTGCATTCCTGTCAGAAAGGCAGTGTTATAGCCATGGACCAAATCCAGACACTGCCTGTGTTTGTAAGTACAGTTGTGTTGGAAGCGCATGCCTGCTTGTCTTTGTTCTGTCTGTGCTGGATTACAACAGCAGGGTTGAATAATAAGAGACACTGTGTGTCCCTTATTTATTTAGTGTGTCTGTGTGTGTTCATCTTCATCGGTACATGCATGTCTTGGGAGGCCAGAGGTCAATGACAGACATCTTCCTCAATTGCTTTCCACCTTGCTTTTTGAGACATGACGTCTCACTTGAACCTGGAGCTCAACTGACTGCTCAGCAAGCCCCAGGGATCCTCCTGTGTCTGTCTCCCCAGATCTAGGGTCACAGGCATGGCCTGCTACATCTGGATTTTTTTTTAAATAGGGGTAGACCTTGGGTTCTTATGATTGTGCAGGAAATACTTCACTGACTGAGCCATCTCCCCAGCACTTTGGGGAAGAGAGTTGCCAACCTTTCCGATGTAGTTCCTTGGCCCATTAGGAAGACCCTTGTATAGTTTCCATACCAAAAGCCAGACACTCTATCTGCTTGCTATATTCACCAACTGCAGAAACATGGCAGGCCTACCTGTAGCAGGCAGAGGAGCAAAGTCAGTGTCCAGGGGTCACCCTCAACTAGAGAAGGATGGGAACTGCTGATGTAATAGCTCAGCTTCCCTGCCTCCTGTTGGAAGAACTTGAAGATTTTCTAGACTGTCTCTTAAGAGGTTCTCAACAAGATGGAGTCAATTTGCCCAAAGTGGTAGCCGGTCCATTCATGCATCCTGCTTGACACATCCTTTCCTTATTACATGTCCCATCCCATCAACACTCAGGAGACAGAAACCAGAACAGTTTTATGAGGGAACAGGGTAAGGAAGCTGGATTCATCTGTTCAGGCCACCAGAGTGCAGCACCAGAGACCAGGAGCTTCCAGAGAACAACAACTGCTCCCCGCCCACCCACACCTCTGAAGACAAGGAGTCCAGGATGGAGATGATGGCAGATCTGAGGGTTCAGCAAAGATCTGCTTCCTGGTTTTTAGACAGCACCGTCTAACATAACCTCACCTACTGTGATGTTTAAGAGTATTAATCTCATCCACGAGGCTTGCTCCTTCAGCTGCTGTCACCTTGGGAGTGTGGATCTGGGGGTACTGGGACACTTAGACAATAGCAGAAGCATTACCAGGGTGGTGTGGACAGACACAGTAAGCAAAGGGTGGTCTTTCTCCCTCCTGCACCTGGGAACTCTTTCCCATTCTCCTCTAACAGAGCACAGCTGGCAAGGCCTGAACAAAGGTGTTTTGGAGAATCCCAACCTGGTGATCCAGGAGAAAAGAGAGGATTGGGAATAGGAGACAAGAGTTCCTGAGCCAGCACACTGGGCTGCCGTCGCGGCTCCAGCAAGCCACCAGGGCCCAGACCTTGTTTAGCATCTACTTTGGGTGAAAGCCAACAGAATTCAAACCTCTCTGGTTCTCTATTGACCCCGACTCTCGATAACTAACAGTTAGTTTTAGGATCTTTGGGGTTGCACAACACAAAGCAACTCTAGCTCATGAAACAAAACGTATGTGGCGTAACTCCCAGAGGTAAAGCCTGAAGAACTTGACCAGAAGCCTCCTAGCAAAGGTCAGAGGTCACAGAGAGTCTGTGAGCCTGGATACAGAGCAGGAATCGGGGAGTGACCTCCTAAGACCACATCCATTAAAGCAGCGGTTCCCAAGCTCCCCAGTGCTGCGACCATTGAATGACCCTCGACCATAACATTAGTTTTGTTGCTACTTCATAAGCATAATTTTGCTTCTGTTATGAATCATGATGTAAATATTTGTGTTTTCTGCTAGTCTTAGATGACCCCTGTGGAAGAGTCATTTGATCCCCCAAGGGGTCACGACCCACAGGTTGAGAATGCTACGTTAGAGGAAGGCTGTAACACAGTCAGTCTTAGGTCCTTCAGCCTGATTTCAGTGAGAGTGTCTTATGAGTCAAGATTGGGCAGCTCACCCAGCCCAAGGCCAGTGAAGGCAGAATATCTTGACTGAAAGCCAGTGTGGCTGGGAAAGGAAGGGCAGCCAATGTCAATCAACATCTTAAGCTGGATTTTCCCAGAAGCCAACCCTAAGAACAGGGTTCAAGAGCAAGTGACTTAGTTCAAAAGCAGCATCTATGTTGAAAAGGAAGTAAAATAGAAAAGGAAGGGTGTGATGATGTGAATATGCTCGGCCAAGGGAGTGGCACTGTCAGAAGGTGTGGTCCTGTTGGAGTAGGTGTGTGGTTATAAGACCCTCATCCTAGCTGCCTGGAAGCCAGTATTCTGCTAGCAGCCTTGAGATGAAGATGTAGAACTCTCAGCTGCTCCTGTATCATGCCTGCCTGGATGCTGTCATGTTCCCACTTTGATGATACTGAGCTGAACCTCTGAACCTGTAATCCAGCCCCAGTTAAGTGTCATCCTTTATAAGACTTGCTTCGGTCATGGAGTCTGTTCACAGCAGTAAACCTTAACTAAGACAAAGGGGGTCAATGGAGGGCAGCTGATTTCCTCCTGGGTGTCTGAGCTCAAACTCATTGCAAACCTCCAAGAGATTATGTTGCATATGCCTCAGTTGTCCCAAAAGAGGAAGAGAGGGTTGGGGTCCTCTGCTCTGGGTCCTGTCCATCCTTGGTTGAGGGCTACCCCAAAAGCATA